GGAGTGTGGCATTTGAATTTGATTATTAGCAAGTATTTTGTGTCAGAATCAACCATTTTCCTAAGGAAACACCCTCCACCCTGAGTAAAAAAGCTCCCCACCCCCCATCTTCAAACTCCCCAAAACAATGCCTGTAAACTAGCAGAAGTTTTTAAAAATTGGATCCACTTTCAGGCCACGTTTGTCCTCAAGATAGGGGTTTCAGGGAAAGTATAGAAGTGTCAGAAGCAGAGTTTTTGTTTTGAAAAATCAATATTTCCCACCAAAAAAATGTTTTGCTGAAGATTTTCATGCCATTTTAATTCTAAAAAAGCCAAAATCAGGAATGTACATGAAACACTGAGCTACAGAATTTCATTTCCACTTTAGATTTCTTCAACAGAGGTAAACTAAATTACTCCAAACAGCTGTTCAGAGTAAATTTCATTTCACTGAAAGTGAAACATTTTATGGAGCTAGTTTTCATCCAGACAGTACTAAAGAGATGGGCAGGCTTTTCCATATTTTGTTGCCTAGTGCCTTGCTCAGAAATCACTACACGTGCAAGTTTCAAACTCCCATTTTGTAAAAAGCTCTCCCTTGATTCAGAGCAGGTCTTGAACTCGAAGCTGCTGCACCCCACCCATACCAGTCCACTCACTGCTGGGGATTCAGCACTCACATACTTCTCTTGCCAAACTGCAACATTTGAACAGAAATTCTGTTCAGGCAAAAGCATTCAAAAAGTGTTGGTTTTCATTCCAGTGTGGAATTCAAATCAAACTTTGAAACCTCAGAATTTCTACAAAATGGAGTTTTCCTCCAGTCAGCTCAAAGGGCTGCTTTGTGTCTTGGGATCTTGCAAAATAACTTGATCTCAGTTCTGTGTCTGAGACCATGTTTTGTGGCTTTGTGTTTCTGGGATTTTTTAAGACACTGCACAAGCTTGCAATGCATTGGTGTCGATATATTTAACTTGAGTTCTGCTAATATCAAATATATTCTTTCTGTGCTCTGTGGCTTTGACTAGCAGTTGAATAGGCAGCAGCTTTAGAGCTCACAGGAGCCGCAGACAGCAAGGAAGTAGTTCTGTCACTACTGGCTGGGCATTCTGCTGCCCTGCCATTCAAGTGTGTCCTCATTTCACTGCCATTGTTTTACTTATTCCTTCCAAAGTTCACTGACACTAAAGTTGTATCAAAGGCATGAAAACCAGCCTAAAGAATTTGCAAGCTCTAGGGCTTTGAAGCTCCCTGACTGAACAGGGGCTGTACAGTGTTTCCATTTTCCTTGGCACCTGAGCCCTATTCCCTCAAGGCTTAGGCAGTGTTAAGGGTTATGCAGATGGTTTGTGCTTAGTTTAAACCACATACAGGAAGCTTTCTTTTAGCTCAACTTCTCCATTGTTATGCTATATTAATAGGCTCTTTTGAAGCTTAAGAAAGGACTGATCCACCCAAATAATAGTTGTGGGTGGGGAAAGTTATTTAGGAGCACGTTTGCAAAACATGAAAGGCTGTTTCATTTAACCATTTCCTTGCCTGCCTGTACAGCCAGATTTTGCTCATTCCAATGCTCAGAAAGAGGAAACTGCACTCCCATTTTTTAAATTACGAGGTTTCAGTCATAGGTATTTATTTATAAGTGAACATATTTATTCTTAGATTCCTGTAGTCAAGCCATAAAATGTGGGCGAGCCACTATGCAAACATACAGCTATGCTCTGAATTTTGATCCTGTCTTGATTTTGTACACAGATTTTGCAGAGAAGTTCCCTGTCCTTAATTTGTGCTGGAATGGGTGATTTGATTCTGCTCATATCATCAGGCAAAATCAAAGGCAGTTCCAGAAATTACTTGCTTGGGACACACCTCAGTGCCACCAGCTCTTTGCTCTTGCTATCCCCTTTAATTGTCCTGTCAGGCAGCTTGGTCCCCTCCTAAGCTTAGAGTTCAGCCTTGTCAGTCCTGACAGTCAGTTCTCCCTGATGTGTGCTCATTCTTGCACTTCCCAAACATTGAGTGGGATTTGCCTAGTGTCTTAAATACTGAAAATTAGCAAGCCTTTGTCCCTGCTGCTTTAGGTGGGGTTGTGCAGCTGTACGCTTTTCACCCCCTGCTTCTCTGCTTCCTCCAAGCGAGCATGCCAAAGCGGATGTGTCACTTTGCAGCAGGGCTGCAGGATGATACAGTGCTCAGGGGGAAGTGGCCAAACTGCTCAGCTTCTGCTTTGATTAACTTTTTTTTACATTCTTTTTCAAGTAACATTTGCAACATTGACAGTTTTTTCCCTTCTACCCAGAAATTCCCCTGCACAGCAAGCAGAGCTTTCTCTTGTGCAAAAAGAGGAAGAGCTGAAGGAGCTGAGAACTCTGCTGGAGAGTTCTCAGCTGTAGAGCAAAATAATACAGCCTGCTCTAGGACATTGTAGGAATGATTGGAGATCCTCACTCAGTCCATAACAGTAAGGGAACAGGGTGTGTTTCTCCTCAGTTAGAGCTGAACATGCACCCAGCTGCCTCTGACTGCTTGAAAGACAACTAATACATCTTAGGGCTTTTGTCACTCATTTTGAAAGATATTTGTATTTCAGATATCTGGTCTACATGCTGCAGCTCTGTGGCAAAGAAAAATTACTTAAAATGCCCTAAAGAAACATTTTCATCATTGTGAAAGAGTATACCCTATGATATGGATGACATGTTACTCATTTCCAAGGGCAGAGTCCAGACTTAAGCATGCTTTTCTGTGGTCAAGAAAAAGCACCAAAAACACAAAACCAGCAAAACCGAACCCCAAATATTCAACAAAATTACTTTCTCTGATTGTTACAGGTCATAGTTGTGTCACGTAGTTGTGACCTGCTAGCAGTCAAAACTCCAAAACAGCCATCCCACAATGCAGTCAGTTCTCCTCCACCAGGGTGTTTCCCAAGTTCGTAATAAAGCAGATTTTCTAGAAGCAAAGAATGCACAAGGGAATAAGCCATGCAAATCTATTTACTGACAGTGACATTTGACTTTCTAAATATATTCCTCCCGTAAAAGCCATACAAACACAGCAGTTTTTTTCTCCTCTTCAATATGTTTAAAAGCAGAAGAGTTGGCTTTATTCTGTGATGAATTTTTAGGTATTGTTTTGATTGAAAATGTAATAATTTTAAAATTTACTAACATTTTGTTGTCAAGAGAAACTACTGGAAAACAAGGATTTGTGGTATACATAGGTTTGGAAGGAGGGATTACCTCAAGTTCTTTTGCATAAATGAAGGAAATATATTTTTGTAGGTACTGCTAGTGCATGTCATTGACCTGTGCTAGGCTGGGAATGACAGGCTAGAAAGGCACTTCTTCTTCCTTGAAACCCTCTAAAAGGCTAGGATTTAATTACTCGCTTGCATCTGGTTGATGAACCTTTTAAAGAGAGGAAGCACATCCTGTTTCAGGATGCATGCCTTTTTCCAAATAAAAAGAATATACTTTTCAGATGTCCTATCACCTGCTTTTGAACAGCTGGTGGCTCCTGCTAATTGCCAGCTGAGTTTACATTGGAATAGTGATTACAAGTGAAATTGGAGGGTCAGAGGTACTGCTTGTTCTAATTGTCGACTTTTTACCCTTATCCATTTTAGCATTGCTCACCTTTGTTTTGAAAGGCACAGAGTAGGGGAAACAGAGACTTGTGGCTAATGTAGTTAGTGACAGCTTCCCTTCAGAGCTTATTAAACTTTTCCTTTTCATATTGACTTATTTGGCCTGGTGCACAGAACCTGAGTCAATGATGTGGCTGTGAGCATCCACCAGAGCATCATGCTGCCACCACAAGCCACTTGCTTAACTGCAGCTGCAGCTTCATTTGTTTCAGCCCATTCAGGTTAGGCTCCCAGGGCTTCTTCCCTCCCTCATGCAAAAATGATACAGTACATTTTATGTGACTCAAAGGAAGAAAGAGACTGAGAGTAAATTTCCATTTGTTCAATCAAATCAGTTTCAGATATAAACTCTGGCCCTCCTTTAATCTCTTCTTGGAACAAAACTGTTCTCTTTTAAACTGGTTGTCTTCCCTAAGAAATTCTGAACTAACTAGAAGGTAGTTTTTAGAGGTGACAGGGCAGCTCTTACCTGTAGGATAATAGTCTGTACTCTTCCCAGAACACATCCCTATTCTAGAATAGGTCCCTGTTGTTCTTCTATTCCCTGTATGTTCCACCTAAGAATATGTTGGTGTGTGCAGTGCACCAGCAATGGAGTTTGGAGTGAACATCTTCTTTACAGCAGAAAACCAGTGTACAGCCAGCAAGGAACCCACAGAGGAAGTTTTCCAATACATAAATCCATATAGAAGTACCTGGAGGGTGGTGGTGGTGTTTGTTCTGAGCCTGTTTACATGCAGGTGTTTGAATTAGTTCTAGCAACACTCACATACATCAAAGCATGAGAATGAGTTCTGTTTTTTGGGTCTATATGGAAGCATACATATTTGTGCCTAAATATTTTTGTATAATGTGTGAACAGACTTCCTGAAGATGGCTTTGCAGGGATCGTACTAAAATATACTGGATCTGGAGTTATAACTGGGCAAGTGGGAGTTCACAGGCTTCATTGTCTGTTTACTTATAAAAAATGAATATGTTCTAGTAATTAGTGGTTAAAGGAGCAGTTCTGACAAGAATACATTGACAGAGTAAGTACAGGAGACCTTGGCTATTGTATTCAGGAAAGTGAAGATTTCATCCATTATGTATTAAAAGCCTGAGAGAAGAACAAAGCTAATAAATTACATTCGGTTCTTACTTGTTCAGTTTTGGCTTTTTATAAAGTAAGCAGACAGGGAAGTCGTGGTAAGCAGAGGCCTACATACAAAACAACATTTTGAAGCAAAAAAGCAGTGACAATTTTTATTTGCTATTAGGGGAGAAGATAATGTATTGCATTCTGGATAAAAATTATAATTATTGACAGCCTTCTGTACATATCAAACTATGATATCACTTCATGCATGTCCTCCTTCTGTTCTTTACAGATGACCCCCATAAGCCAGAGGAGAAAGATGAAATTTCCAAAGTCACAATCATAAGTCTTGTCCCGTTACTGGTGATTTCTGTTGCTGTGATTGTTATCTTTTATGCCTACCGCACTCACAAGAAGAGGAAGCTCAGCAAGGCATGGGAGAAGAATGTTAAGCCCAAGAAGCATAAGGACTGCAGTGATGGCTGTGCCATTATGTTAGACGACGACCGCTCAGACATCAGCTCCACGTGTGCCAACAACATCAACCACAACACAGAGCTGCTGCCCATTGAGTTGGACGTTGTTGTTGGCAAAGGAAGGTTTGCTGAAGTGTATAAAGCCAAATTGAAGCAAAACACATCAGAGCAGTATGAAACTGTGGCAGTCAAGATTTTCTCCTATGAAGAATATGCTTCCTGGAAAACTGAGAAAGACATATTTTCAGATGTAAACCTCAAGCACGAGAACATACTCCAGTTCTTGACAGCAGAGGAACGTAAGACAGACCTTGGCAAACAGTATTGGTTGATCACTGCCTTCCATGCTAAAGGAAACTTGCAGGAGTATCTCACACGGCACATTATCAGCTGGGAGGACCTCTGGAAACTTGGCGGGTCCTTGGCCCGAGGGATTGCCCATCTGCACAGTGATCACACACCCTGTGGTCGTCCCAAAACACCTATCGTACACAGGGACCTAAAGAGTTCCAACATCCTGGTGAAAAATGATTTAACCTGCTGCCTCTGTGACTTTGGGTTATCCCTGAGGCTGGACCCTTCCCTTTCTGTGGATGACTTGGCTAACAGTGGGCAGGTAAGTTAGAAGGTTGAAAGGGGAGCAGGTAATGTACCAGTTTGTCAGTTCCTGGGCTGAAAAGATGGAAAAAGCTTCTATGGCAGCTTTGACTTAAAATAATTTAAAATTAATGTGAATGTGTTTATAAACAAAGAGGCTCTAAACATTAAAGCCTCTAAACGAGAGGAGTGCAATGTAGGTTTTGTTATGGTTGGAGACCTGCATGTGTGTGTGTGCAACCATCCTCTCACTTATACCAAGCATGTATGAGCTTGTTAGCAACTCTTCATGATGCTGCTGCAATGCACACACACAAATACAATAAGGATCTGCTTCATGTTGTGAGGTTTTGATCCAGTTTTCATGCCTGATGGCATTACACTTCTGTGTGACTTGGCCCAATCCTGGTCTGCTCCAGTGTACATGAAGTCAGTCTTCCATCCTCAAAACTGTAAGCACGTAATTACTGATACAATTTTAAAATTCAAAAAAGACCTCTTTAATGAATGGTACATTCAAATACAAGGATGTCAAATAAAAATAATTGCCCTGTTGTGATTTTTCAACTAAGGAGTATGGATAATACTCATCTACTTGACAGGGATGTTTATGAAAGTGTTGGAGATTACCTACATCTACATATTGTCTCTTTTAATGAAAACTCCCATAGTATAAATTTAGATAATTTATTAACTTAATTCCTAATAGTTTAATTATACACATATTTGTGTGGTTTTATATTTATCTTTTTATACATGAGTCACTCAAATCTTGTCAATTTAAACTGAGTTTTACCTCGCATGGAACTAATATTTTAGCTTAGAATGTTTTCAGGGACAAATCTTCAGTCTGTGGCATGCTGTTGAGTTCACAGGAGTTTTACTGTGCTTTATCAAATGTGGATATGCCTTTGGAAGTCTCCTTATTGAAAAGCAACTGTCCTGCTCTCATTTTTAGAAGATCTATTAACCAGAGCCAGGAGTGAATGTTAATTAGTGGAGTCATATTTAAAATGCTACAAACACTACTCTGTTACATGTAATTTCTCTCCAGCATGCCACATCTTTTTAGAGTTCAATGAAGTCATTCATACCAGATTGTCAGTCATAAGACTGGTCGCATTTGAAGCAAGACAAGGACTCTGAAAGTCATCACCCACAGACACTTTGCTTAAAGCAGACCCTTATTGCAAGCTGATTTCATTGCTCAGAGTCACTTGGAAGTAGGAGGATACTGCCACTTCCACAGTCCACACCAGCACTGATGACAAAGTACAGGGCTGCCCAGATCAGGTTATGGTTTTGGAGTTGGTGTCCTTGGGCTCTGATGTTGAGGCTGACTGTTTTATTTTGTTTAGCTTCAGTGAATCTGTTTCGAGGTCACCCAGCTGTTGTTCTTCTCTGTGACAAGGGGTATGAGTCAATTGATTTGGTTCCCAACTCTGCCTTGTTCTTTTTGGGCACACACGAGCAACCCACTTTAATTCCCCAACATGTCAGCTTCAATGCTGTAGCTTTTATTAAAGAAGTCTTGCACCAAGATTTGCTTCCTGCATAATTTCTAGAATTTCCCCTTTGACTCAAACCCTTGCCACAAGGAGATTCAATTTTATAACTTGTATAATGGAGCTGACCCAATTTTTAATTCAATAAAAACTTGAGCTTTCGATGAAATAAATAAGAGTGTAAGTATTTAACTGTTTTACTGGTCGTCCTTAGACACCAAATTGAAGGCAAATTGTTGGGATTACAAAGCCATCTTCTTTCCAATCTATCCAAAAACCTTCCATATCATGCAGATATAGCCATTATTGACTACAATACCAGGCTGGAAACCACCTTTCTACCCTACAGAACCTTTGCACTCTTTTGAGTTTGGTCATCCATGATGATTAATATTTGCACACATTACTTAATGTGACCATATAAATCTGGACCTTCTTCCCACTGTGTTCAGAGAAGTGGTAGGTGACTGCAAGGACAGCAGTTCTGTACCTCAGCAGCATCATGACCCTTGTAATAGATGGTTTCCCATAAGAGCTAAAGAGAAATACATACTGCCTTTCTGACTGATGCACCTCAGGGCATGAAACATCTCTCAACAGCTTGAAAGAAATGTAAGATCTCCAGTAAAAAAAGATTCAAACATCACAAAAATGAAGTGAGATGGTCCCTCTCTAGAAGTTTTGGAAAATCAAGAACTAACAGCCGACTGGTATTTGCAAAGAAGAAGCATATCCAGACTCTAGAGGGACAATCAGCCTGGAATTTCCAGAGTTCAGATACCTAAAAATGCCTTTGAGGCTCAGGAGTCACTTGTTTTCAAGATACAGAAAAAGTGTCTTTGGCCAAAAGACCTAATAATCTAGACGCAGATAAAGGGACATAAGCAGAATGGAATATATGATAAGTTCTAAGCAGGATGGATATAAGATTGGCTTGATAGCATTCTTCAAGTCAATTTTTGTCTGCGCTTTCTTCTGTGCATTTTAGTTGTAGGCCTTCATCCTCCACTGTCCTGCAAAAGTGCAGAATGCTTTTAATTGCTGCAAAGAGCATGTTAAATGCTAGACCAGGACAGAACTTTGTGGCAATGTGAGGGACCTGTGGTGAGGCATCGTTAATCTTGTTAAAATCTGCAAGGTTTGCAGATGTTTGCCCATGTGCACAGGTAACCTTTTCCAGTTTTGGATGGGATGTGCTTGGAGAAGAAATCCTGTGCTAGAGAGTTAATGGTGGGTAGCAGCAACCTCTGCTCCAGTGTTTCCGTATGTACATTTTATGTAGGTAAGGGAGTCAGTGCTGACCTTGGTGGTGCTGAGACATGACTGTCCCAAGTTCTTCTTCAGTGTATAGCTGCTATTCACATGCTTGGCCTTAAATTCATCAGTGTCAATGTAGCAGGGAACTTAAATTTGGGACTGCTCACACTGAATTTTTTTTTCTGTCCTCTGTTTATAAAGGCTTTGATCTTACAACCATTCAGATATTTTTGACACAGAGATTGTCTGCTGTTGCAAGGTCCTATGACAAAGCCATGTTCTTGATCTTTCCTTCTTCTTATGATACTTTCCACTTTTGTGGAACATCTTCCCATTTGCCCTGAGCCTGAGGTGATGAGACATGTTTACAGAAGCTTATAAAAAGAGTATCATAGGGCTCTGTCAAGACTGTACATTTACTATGTGGCTGTCTGCAGGTGCAGACCCAGTAACTGAAAGGATCTTTTGCAGCCCTGCTTGCCTCTGGGCTCTGGAGTGATTGCTGTGGTGTAAACAGCTCGTTTAAATCATATGTCCTACTGCATCACCCACTTATGTTTGTTCATCTCTGCCATTAACCAGTCTTCAACTTGAAGCTGTCTTTGCCTGATGAAAGAGTTCTGTTTGCAGTTTTTCAAGGAGGATATGTTATTTATACCCTGTGAAGAGTTTGTCATTTGAGAGCAACTGTTGAGTGATCCAAGAATTCTTCCTTAAATCTTTTCTTGTGATAAAAACAGACTTTTAAACTTCACCTTCTGTAATGCAAAATCATAATCCAGATCTCAGCAAAGCTGCTAAAGTCATTGCTGAAAATTGCTCAGTATGAATAAAGTTTATGAGAATGTTTTTTTCAAAGGGGCAGATTTTTGGTTTTGATTCAAATGTGTGGTTCTGCATTCAGTATTTGTGTGTTTGCTTTCTTCTCCCAGGCCTGCATTTACTCTCCTTTTAAGCCTGCCATGAAAAGAAACAGCTAACACTGTAATATGCTGTGCAATATAATACAATGTGTTTCTTGCTCATCTGAAAGACACTTGGTCAGCAGCAATTGCTTCAGGCCCAAAGGTTGGAGTTTATCTGTGAATGGCCAAAGAGTGAGAAAATTTATCAGTGTCAAAATTATTTCCTTAAGGAACTAAAAAAGGCCTTTTTTTTCCTCACCAGGAGAGGTGCAAGTAAGTTGGTAGTCAGGACAATGCCAGATTCCCCTGGCAGCAGAAAATATGGCCTGTGCCAAGTATAGTCTGAATTTTTGGATACATGTCAAATGGCACTGTTTCTGTGAAAGCTGGAGTTAAGTAAATCACAGTGGAATCCAAAACATGAATTGCAGTTTCAGCTCATGAGCTCTCCCCAATCTCTTCTCCTGTAGGTTGGCACAGCAAGATATATGGCCCCTGAGGTTTTGGAGTCCAGGATGAACCTGGAGAACATGGAGTCCTTCAAACAAACAGATGTGTACTCCATGGCTTTGGTCCTCTGGGAAATGACATCTCGCTGTAACGCTGTCGGAGGTAACTGCCATCTGTTTTCTTCTCTCTAAGAGTATGTTGAGACAGACATGCTCTCATGGTTGTCTGGGTAGGTAAATGAACAGCATCCAGACACACCAGAAAATCTTAAGGTTTAAGGTTTACACCAAAATCTTAAGGTTTTCTGGTGTATCTGGATTCTGTAAATTAACAGTCCTTCAGTAGTGTGAGATGCACATGTGCATGAGCAGGCTTGAACACCAAGCACTGAGCACACTGAGTAAACTGATCCTCAGTTGGCGTAAGGATAAGTTTGCTGTTAGGTAGGTCACTTCTAAAGATTATTAAAGTCTGGTTTCCCTATGACATCTTGGGTAGCCATGGATTGACTCAGTCTGGTTGATCTCATCCAAAATAATTTGAAACATAAGTCTATTTGAAATATTAAACTGAAGAAGTGATAACTGCTTCCCGTTTACTTTCATGGAATGTCAATTCTCAAACCTAGTAAGGGCCAGTTAAGTGTCACATTTGCTAATTGGTAATTTCCATAAGAGGCATCATAGTGGGATGGAAAGTTTCCTGTTTTCCCAAAGTCACCAGCTGCTGCACATCATGCTTGGTGATTTTGCAAGAGATTATCCATATGAGAAATCAAGGGATGTTTGCGGTATAAAGTGTAGTAACAAAATAAAAATTATTTGAACTATCAGAACAGCTCCATGAAAAGCTGCTATGCTTGTTCATATTCATAATTTCTTCTGAAACAAAACTCTCAATTTCTGTTTTACCGAAAGTTGACCCAAAATTCTCAGTGTGCCACACTGGTATGTGCTGGAAATCAGAAAAGTTGCTGTTGGGATATCTACAATACATATTGCCATGTTTGAAGATTTTTGCCTTTCTTCAGGAACTAAAATAAGGCAAAGTTGCATGTCAAATTCTTCTGCAATTGTCTAAGAGTCATTCTAAAAAATATTGCTGCAGAATTTGAGGCTCACACAGGCAGTCTAAGGAGCAGGGCTGTAAAAGGTAACACTAATGTGGATATTATAGTAGATATGCAACTGTGATTTGATTTGCTATCCTTCTTCCAAAACCACAGAGGCTCCCTTTTCACTGGACTTGGCACAGTTCCACCTTGAAGGGCTGCCATAGACGCAGAGACAGGGCAGTCTTGCAGGCTAGAGCACTGTGCTATGAGGAACATAGTGTACAGGAGGGAAACCAATGTCCCAGGGGAAGATGTGCATAGCTGCTCCTTGTTTCTCTAGCAGCATCTGTGGGATACCACAAGGGAGGTCTCTGAAGCCACTCTGCACAGTGACTGTGTGGCTGCACCACAGTGTCCATGTGCAGGAGGGAGGAATTGCCTCCATCTCAGTCTCCTGCTCTGTCTGACCAGCATTTGGTCTTGCTGGGTGGGCTGTATTATGGGCAACAGATTTGCCCCTGTTTGCACCCTGCCAGGAAAGCTACAAAGTGAGTATGTGTGCTGAATGTGCTAGCATAAAAGCATGAAAAGAACACCAAATTCTTTTCTAGTCAAACATTTTAAGGGTAAAACATTTGGTGGTTCAGGAACTGAACCTCAGTCTGACATATTACAAGGCAAACCTATCCATATTTAATGGATCATGGTCATGCCTGTTTTCTAAGTGCATTGGCACAACCTCAGCCTTTCATTAGCACTTTTGTAAATGTGGCAGAGGAGATTTAAAACCTGAAATAAAGGAACTGTGCCCTGTCTCATGATCTGTCTCTGTTTCTTGCATTTAGGAACACACCTGTTTAGTATGAATATGAGCTGTTCACTGTGGAGTCTTTCATCTTTGATGATGCCTGAGTCCCTTCCTGTTCAGATTTGCTGAGTAGGGCAAAATGAAGATTGCAGCAAAAGCAAACCTTATTGCTGCTGTTCTCAGAAGGCAACTGCTAAAAGAGGATATAAAGGGAGTTTCATAAGGAAGGAAAATCACCAGCATGTTTAGCTAGAAGAGATTGACCCATAATGACCTTGAGAAGAAGAGCTGAAGTTATTTCAGTAAAGGGAAATATTTTCCTGGCCCGGCATCCCCTTTCAAGTGATGCTTAACCCCCACCCACATCCTAGTTTTCCTTATTCATTTCATCCCTCAGTCATTCTCATCTCCAGAAACACATTTCTTGAATTTTATTTCCCTATTTCAGTCATCTTTCCTGAGATGAGGTCCCCAGCAAAACCCCAGGAGCACTAGGGCAGATCTGTAGGGGTTGCAACTTGCTCTTAGCATCTCTGGCTAAAGCAGTTAAACACAACTCCCAGGATGTAGATCCCTTAACTTGTCACTGGCACTGAGCTGCAACAGCAGTGCACCGTTACTCTCATTTCCTTCTCAGATTTTCCCCTGTTTCGAGCAGTCTGGTTATCTTTGCAGCCAGCTGGTGAAATACCCTTACAGTGATTCATGACTGCAGCTCCCCCTCTGCTTTCCTTCTCCATCTGTCACTTGTGAGACTCCCTCCTCTCCTCACAGTCTTCCTGAGGAGCTGCCTCTGCTCACGCAAACCCCCCTTTTACTCCTAGATTGTTTGGCAATGAGAAAAATGTCTTTGCATGTGAGGCAGAGTAGGCTGACCTGATTGCAGACAGCCTTTTCAAAGGAGCCTAAAAGATCTAGGCTCTGTCTTTGCAGGGCAGGCTTGGCTGTGGTGTCAGCTCAGGGCAGTTTTGAGGCACAGACTGGGGAGTCTTAGCCATGACAACAGCATTAACAACTTTATTTAGGGAGGGAAGCATGCAAGGAAGGGGGACTAATTGCCATTCAGCCACACAGAGGTACAGGGGTACAGGGGCTTGTTTCTTTTTCAAAGGGAGCTCTTGGGATTCATTTGTCAGCGTGCAGGTGTTCGGTGAGTGTGGGAGGTGATGCAGGCAGGTCCTTTCACTAGAGACGCTTTGTCAAACACAGCCTCCACGCTATGCCAGGCCTCTTCAGTCAGCAGACATTTAAACAAAAATACCCAGCAGCACAACCCATACTGTAAAGCTGCTGTAGTAAATAAGCAGGTGGGGATTGGCTTTTGTGAAAGGCCACGCTGTTCGTTGTTACTTTGTTGTGCTAAATATGGAGAAGAAGAAATGGGGCACAAGGGAAAGGGAGACAGAGGCAAAGATCGAGGTTGACTGATTTTTCAGCAGAGTATAATTTAAGAGGCATATTTAGAAACTCAGCAATACTACTTTGGGGAGAACTTCAACTGTTCCACACTGCTGTTAACTTGGTATTTCATTCAGCACAACAGCTGTGCACCAGATGCTGCACGTTGCAAGAAATACAATTTTCATCTCAACCACTTGCTTTCAGAGTGACACAGCTTTGGTGACTGAGACAAGTGTAATTTCTCTGACAGCCTCCTAGAAAGAAAAGAAAACCATCTGGTTTGAATTGCAACTGCTATGGGTGAGGGACTATTGGGGGAGGCAGGGGAGAAGGAGGGGAAAGGGAACTTTTGGATACACAGGTTTGGTGAAGAGGGAGAAAAGAAAGCCCTCATAAAATGGCAGTGTTGGTCGAGCAGTATTGTACTCCTGGAGTGGTGGCTGGCTTCATTGTGGTAGCAGAGCTTTGTTTAAAATGGCAGCCTTGCTTTACCCGAGCTGTGTTTCATGTGAATAAAATCAGGAGTAATCTTATGCTTACTTGGAAAGTCAGCCAAGAGTCACATTTTGGCAACTAAACATTTGTGCATCCTGTACCTCATGAAATGCTCAGCTTCCATCACACTGACGTGGAGCGGTGACGTTCCTGGCAGCAGGGAGCAGTCAGATGGCCTGTGCAGCAGGGCTGGGCCTGCACAGTGGGCCCTGAGGTGGCTGCAGCTGGGGGCTGATTTAAATTTCTCCTTCTGTGAGGCAGAGCCAAATCAGGACATGTCTGCCCTGCACTGGCTTGTAGTGGCATACAGCCCTGCTTGGTAGATCCACACAGTGCAGTGTCACCCCATGACAGGCACTCCTGTCCTGGAAATTCTCCCAGTGTCACCACAGTGCTACATGTAAGGCAGCAAGTACTGTCCTTCAACAAGCCCATGTGGCAGTAGATAAGGTCACTGCACCACACCCTGTGCTGAGAACTGATGTGTTTGCCACTTTTCCCCCTCAGGATTCACTGAGCAGCCCCTAAGCCTGGTGGCAGGGTTCATGCACTCCCAAATCTTTAGAAGGGGGACTGTGTCTTAGATCATCAGATGTGAAGTCACTTAGGAGGTATGTGTGCACAATGAGTTCACTCATCCCAATGCATCCTTACCTCAGCAGGGAAACCTAGGGAAATTTATGAAGTAAGCATTTGACAGCATCTTAAACTTGTCCTGAAACAGCTTTTGGGCCTCTGTTTTGGGCATTATTTTCCCTTTGTGCAACTAGTGCAAGTTAGCAGATTCAATACCCAAATTCCTCTAACATGAAGAAAGACACCATCTATACTATCTGCACACACTACCTGTGTTTGCATGAGCTGTCACAGCAGCTCCACCATCAATTGATTTATCCCTTCTTCCCCCTCATAAGCTTTAAATAAAGGGGCATTTCAAAGGAACCTAGAAGTTCCCAAACACAAGCTCACTGCTGCAGACTCTGCCTTACAGTTGACTTCTGCTGGCCTTTCACCTCACTCCTGCTTTGATCCTGCATATAAAACATCATCCAACATGAGAAGTTGTCCCATGGAAATCAGTAAGATAGATCACATAAGGGAGTGTCAACAGGGTTTGTGGTATGCTCTTCTGACCCAAAGAAAATTTCACTGCAAAAAGCTTAGAGTAGAAAAAGATCACAAGTGAGCCAAATTTTCAAAGCTTTCATCACACAGAACAAATAGACTTTCAGTAATTTCTCTGGGGCTAAAAATCCTATCCCTGCCTTTCTGAAAACTATAGCTAGGCCAATGTCAAAAGAAACTAGAGGTTCAGCAGTTAGTAGTGCAAGTCAGCTCTCAACCATAAAGATTAAATGCTGGAGGTTAAAGTTGAAGGAAGTCTGCCATTTTTGAATGCTAAAGGTTCTGTAGTTCATGGTTCCTGATATATTTATGGTCCTTCATCCAGTTGTCATTTTTGGTGCCCAGCTGGTCTAAAACCTATGAAAAGAAACATATAAGGCATGAGAAATAGAATCAGCCTCTGTATATGGCCACACACAGGCATCTAGCGACAAACATCTTAAACTACCTCAAATTGACATCTGTTACATCTACTGCAGCACATAAACATGATCCATGAATAACACCGGCTACTACTGCAAAACATGTCTGACACTTGAGATTCCACAGCATTAGGATGACTTACTGCATGAGGATTTAGTGGGCTTTTTTTTACTTTCCAAGGGAAAGAGAAGCATGATAATAAATAGCAAGGAGATGCCACATGCTTTTCAACCTGAGGGAAGGTATGACTGTATTGGTAGAAAGTCATTACAGTGAATTGGCATCTGGCCTAAATTTTTCTTTCTTTACCATAAACAAAAACAAAGCAACAACAGAAAATCCAAATCTGAAAAATTTATTCAATCTTTATATTTGGAAGAAGAATGGTCATAACTTACAAACAATTTCTCAAACAGAAAAAATGTATTATGAACCTATCAATTGCCAGGAAGAGTTTTCCCTTCTCCTGCTTGAACCATCTCATTAACTTGAGCAACCTTGAGATTTAATTAGTGAGAGGGAACAACAAGTCAGCATCACAGCACCAGCTTCCCTCTGTTGGCCATTGAGACTCTTCTAACTCCTCACCCTGCAAGATCTCAGAACCTTGGCTGGTGTCCATGACCACTGCCACAACTGAACCATGACTGATGGAGATGGTGCAGGAAATGGCCATCTAGGTCATGTGATTTAAATTCTCCTGGTGAACTTTAATATTTTTGTTAGCTTTGAACATATAGGTGTGTGCAGTATAATCATTGTGCATCCACTGCATGCTAACCCATGTCTGACTAGCAACATGGCAACTTCCCTATTCATTTCTAGGGCTAAAGTCTTACAAATATATTTTGGCTGAATCATCTCAGACTCAGATTAATGTGGATGAAACTGGTTTGCATTCTTGCACAGGAAAGAGAGTGAGGCAGACTTTGGCCTTTGGGTCTTAGAAGATGGAAGTTTTGTTTCTGGGCTATAGCCATTCTCCAGAGCATCTTGTGGAAAGTACAAAGCAGCAGATGGCTAGGGAGAAGGAAGAAGGGCTCTGCAGGAGGCATCTATGGGTGATCTGCTGCACTGCACACAGTTGTTTGCAGCTGAATCTCTAAATGCTGAGCATTCGAAGCATGAGGTTTAATATCCCTTCCAAAATGTTTGTTATTATAACTTGGCCATTCTTTTTAAGCATCAGCCTGATAAAGTCTTTGTCTCATGGCCATCACATGCAAGTGAGGTCTACAGCCTGACTTCAAGGCTTTGGAGAAAAATCCAAAGATAGTTGTCTTCAATACTACCTTGTTTTTATCATGAGACATGGCAGAAGGATCTGACCTGTGTCATCTTGATCCTTAGTTATTTTCAGTAGCATATTATATAACCCCATCCTTACCTTTCTCTCCCAAAGTAAACAAACCCAAGTGTTAGATGTTCTTCCCATTTCTTCTGGGCCTTTAATCCCTATTCATGCATTCTCAGCAATTTTTAGCCCTTTAGAGGACTGAGCAACACTGGGCACTGCAGTTGAATTTGGTTGTAGCATCATGCAGCAGTGGTTTGTTTCTCCGCTCATTTGTCTCTGTTCACACATCATCTGGGCATTCACATGCATTCTCCAGACTGCTTTGTAGATTATACTTTAGTTTTTCTTGCCCCCAATTAATTCCTAGAAAGAAATAAGAGGCAGCAGAACAGGCCAACTTCATAAATCTTTATCTGATAGCAGCAAGTCATTAGGCCTGTGAGTAAAGTCTCCATCTGTTCCCAAAGAAACCACAGCATTTTCTACACTGTGTCAGCATCTACTATAATATTTCCGCTCTCAGAGATTTCTTGAGTTTTCTCCAAGGGTCCCATATGTCTGCCTCTTCCTTTCTCTCTCCAAAGAAAAGCAAAGAAAATATGCAACATGCAAACAAAAACTAGAGTGGCAGCAACCCCTTCAGAAAGCTGTTCCCCTGTATCACAGGCCAAAACTGATCCATTTTGGGAAGGAAATCTAAAATAAGAGCAGACTACTACTATCTACAAAAGAATGCAGCTTAGGAGTAAGCAAGGGCGGTATGGCAGCTTCCAGCATTGTTCCTTAACTGTATCTTTGCCCTTTCCTAGCAATCCCCACATTCACATCTACCATGACCTAGATATATTTCAGTTTATATTTCACCTGATAAGTGTGTGTGGACTCCAGGAGAGCTAAGGGTGACCAACTGTTCAAAAGCTTGGCTCATGCAAAACTCACCTTAAACCTTCTGTGCGTTTTACCTCAGCAGAGATTGAAAGGCTCACAAACCAGTATAGATTACTCTGCTTCTTGGACTGTTGCTAATATTATTATGTACTAAAGAGTTTAAATGAGAATTGTTTTGTTGGCTCGGAAACAAAAGGGGAGGGAGGGAGTGTGTGTGAGAAACACATTTGAAACATTTTTGAAAATGCCAACTGCCTTTGCTTTGTTTGGAGCTGGTCAAGCAGAACAGTGGCAGTGAGCAGCTAATCAGTAGCTCCTACTCCTCAGAGAACAACCAGCTCCCTCCACTCTTGGTACCAGCACAGCCCAGCTAAATTCCCTGTGTTTGCTTCTTTCCCAGAAGTGAAAGAGTATGAGCCCCCCTTCGGCTCCAAAGTGCGAGAGCACCCTTGTGTGGAAAGCATGAAGGACAATGTCCTGAGAGACAGAGGGCGGCCCGAGATCCCCAGCTCCTGGCTTAACCATCAGGTAAGAGCACCACAGTGGGCAGTGGGAGCTGCACTGTACATTTAGCTGCTGCCTGAAGCCTGAGCCTTACCTCAGTGCCCTGCCCAAGAGGCTGCGCCTCTCTTTGCATAGAGAGGTCTGTCACACATGGAGAGACTCCATCACAGAGCGGCACTGGTGCTGACGTGGTTCAGGCACCACAGTTCTCTGCACCATGCCTGCCCCAATGCCCTGGTATTCCTGCTGCACACCAGTGTAATCTAAAAGCAGTCAAAACAGAAACATTGGAAGCCTGAGATCCAAAAATCATCCAGAGAGCCGCAGAATAGTTAGGCCCTTAAAGCACACTGTGTGTAGGCTCTGAAAGGGCAAAGAAAACAACTTCACACATGGGCCTCTGTTGCAGGCAGAGTGAGAGCTTCAGACAAAATTTATTAGAGAAGCCCTTCTGTTGAGTCATGAGGTACAGAAAGGATCCCCTTGCTTTCTAAATTCCTTCTCAGAGAATTAGAGGTGTGGCTGGGTTCAGTCTTAGCCCCAGATTTTGTCAACAGTTTACATTTTAAGGATTATATAGGTGCAATTGAACCATTATACAACTTTGTCCCATATGATTAAGGTGCCAAACCAGATACAAAAGTATAAATTATTTATTATGATAATAGCTAGACAAAAAGGTCTTAGAGTTATGTACTACACAGTGTAGGAGCTGTAACTACTCATATAGTGTGCACTATGAAGCAATATTGAAGCAATCATATTAAAGCAACTGTACTAAAGGCAGCAAAAACAATTATTAAATTAAGATTGATGTCAGCCACCCATGCCAACAACCTTAGGCAAATCTCTTCTGTTCAGCATCGAGGAGTAACCTTGAGGTATTCTAACATAACTCCTCAAGGGAGTTATGTTAGAAGATGCTGTTGTTGAAAAGTGGGACTGGGCTTTCATAATATAAAGCAATTGACTGTCAGTCAGATGTCTCCAGGCCAGCTCAGTCAGCTCAGCAGTTTTAGATAAGTTATTAATAGTATCACTTGTTTGTTCCTTTGTTGTGTAGTTCACCAGATCTGCCACATCTTCACCTCACTATCAAGGTGTTTAACTTTGAGTCAGGCTGGTTTCAGCATTATTCAACACCTAAAGCAGCATGATGCCCTTCTCCATTCACCACTGGTAGCTTTGCAAAAAGGGCACTCTTCAAATTTGTTTTACCCCATTTCCAGGGAGACCATCCTACTACAGAGGATCTTCAGCAGAAAAAGCAAATCTGAGTACTTTACCATGGAAACCAGCCATAGTTGTATCCCAACTGTTGACAGGTTTAATGAAATAGGAAATTAGTCTTCAGCAAGCCAGCGTGGTTTTATTCAGGTTGTGCATTAGCAGTCCATTTCCCTTGCATATCACAAAGCACTTTGTCAGCTTCCTCCATTCACGAGCACCATGGTTGCACTTCCTAGGCAATGGTAGATTTTTTAGTAGAGGAAACTGAATGGAAACAAGCCAAACCATGCATTTCTTCACCTTTGCTCTCAGTAGTTTTATCAGTAGAGATAAAATGTGAATCATATTAGAGAAGTGAGGCTTGGTCATTCCACTTCTCAATGAAATATGCTGAGTGGTCTTTAGTGACAAAAGGAAAGTATCACAAACTTTTATAAAAGCCCAGGCAACCAAGAATATCATCTATCTACTATTTCCATCAGGAGCAATGTAACACTCCCTTTTTAATTCCATTTAGGAAGTTAAAATCAGTCTGACAGCTGCATAAAAAAGACCAAGTGAGTGGCTAAAATCAATCATCTTTCCAGCCAGGAACACCTGCCGCCTGATGACTATGGCAGAATGCAGCCCCTTCCTGGACTGCAGGAACTTGCTCCTTACGTACTCAGCGGTGAGGAGTAGGCTATTGAGGAGGGGCTTTCAACAAGGGAAGAAAGTTGAATTTTGAGGGAAACCTGGATATCTGATACTACCTGGGTATCTGATACTACCAGCACTAAAAGCCCTTGACAGCAAGGTTGAGCGTGCAGAGAGTTGCAGCTTGAGGTACTGGCATAGAGCTGTAGGATACACTGTGGATTTCATCACCTTTGGGTTTATAAAGCAAGTAAAATGATAGTGATTTGGACCTAGGTGTCCTGCATTTGACTTCAGAGGTTTCTTCCCTATATAAAACCCACATCTCAAACTGCCCCAGCACAGAGAACCCCACCAACTGGGAGGCCATGCACTTGTGCTTGTGTCACCAGAATGGGCACAGCTGGCCCCAACAGGGTTCAGCTAAGAGTCTAAGGAAGGAGATGCCTGATAACATGCTTAGAGGACATTTAATGAAGGTGGTTTTGATTCCCTTTGCCTGAATCCCTTCAGTGTTTCACATTGTGCTGTTTAAGATGCAGTGATGCATCAGTTTCCGCAGTGCTGTGACAGTTTGCAGCAGCTGAGGATCTGCTTTGAACTCCATAGAAGTTGTTCTTACTGTAATGGCTCTTCCATATTAATTTCCTTCCTCTGCAGTTGTGTTTTTGTAATGAACTCATTATTCATCATGATAAAATTCTGGAATAGATTTACATATTACAATTACCCCACACCCCCCTTAATGAGATTTGTTGCACTATTGATTTCAAGTTAATGTTTAATATTTAATTTAATTTACTGCTTGTAATTTCAATGCCAGCAGAAAACTAATGTTATTTGTATACAGACAGTAACATTCTGCTATTAGCATTGACATCAGTCAACATCACCAGTTAGGTAAATTATACAATTAATGCAGTGTTGTGAAATGTTATTTTTTTAAATAAGTTTAAGATAAATCCTACTTAATGGGCTTTTAGTGTCATAAAACAAAACACAGTTTCCTGTGGCAAATACTTCATGTTTATAAAAATCATTACAAAGATGCAACTGTTTTTTTGCTCCTGAAAACATTTGCATTGGAATTGAAATGAGGGTTAAACAGTTACAACTGTGAGTGATGTGCTTAAGTGTTTGTGGGACTGTGGCCCATATTTGCACATAGATTTAGGTAGTCTACAAGGAATTCATAAAGAGCTGATGTACAGCCCAATATTGCTGGCAATCAGAATTCTGTTTGAAAAACCCAAGCAGAATTCAGCATGCAGATGCATGGGTTGAGCAGGAGGTCATATTATCCAAGAATTTTGATCATATTTATTAAACAAAAAAACCCTGCTTGATTCTATATCACTAGTCTGAAGCATCGCTGTTCTTGTTAGGTCAGACCACATGCCCAGAAATGACAGTTCCAACTAAAGCGCTGAAAATATTGTAGTAGGGTTTCTTAAAAAAAAAAAAACAAAAAAAAAACAAAAAGAAAACAATGCCCCATGACAGAAGCAGCAGATCCCATAAAGAACCCCCAGGACACACATGAAATAACCCCCAAATTTCTGAGGGCCCTGAAGCAGCTCTGTGCGCGAGGCGTTGCTGGCTGCCCCGTCACGGGCGCTGTGTCTGTGCTCCGTGCAGGGCATCCAGATGGTGTGTGAGACGCTCATCGAGTGCTGGGACCACGACCCCGAGGCGCGGCTGACGGCGCAGTGCGTGGCCGAGCGCTTCAGCGAGCTCCGGCACCACGACAGGCTCTCGGGGAGGAGCTGCTCCGAGGAGAAGATCCCCGAGGACGGCTCCGTGACCACCGCCAAGTAGCGCACGCCCGGGAGCTCCGGGACGGAGGGAAGTCGCTCCTAGACGTGTTCACCTTGGCAAAGGAAGAGGTCTTGATCGGTGCCTTGACTTGCTTCCTGGAGGACTGAGGCTGTCACTACTCCCTTTGGGCTCCAGCTCTGGACAGGGAGATGTATTCTGGGAATTACAAGCTGGGGGAGTAGCAGTCATACCCTAGCACTGGCGGCCAGCATCATGTCGTAGGAGGAGCTATATATGGTAGCACTTCCTCTGGAAAAGGATTTGAAAACAGCCAATAACATTATGCACTTTATTAATGCCTGTATATAACTATGAAATTGCTATTTTTATATATATATATATATACATATATATATATAAAAAATGTGTGTGTATGTATATATATATATATGTATCTATATATCTATAAACAGCCATGTCCTGGGAAAAGAAAAGTTATTAAAAGAAAGTGCTTCCAGGAAATTACCAGTACATTAGAAATCCCGCCCCTTAGGGGAGGAGCCTGGGGGGACTGGTATAGCACCACACCAGCAATTCTGCACTAAGCGTTCTGCCAAAAAATAGGAATAATATGCAATAAGAAGATGACTTTCCAAGCATGTGCTGTGACCACCTGGCTGTCATCCTGCTGTTCACAGGAGCAGGAGCAGTCTCACAGCAGACAGGCAAAGTTGACTTTGCAGTTACTTGCATGGTCCTGTCTGCAGCACATTGTGGAAAATTCAGGATTGCCTTTTCCCTCTCACCTTAACCCCAAAGTCCTCAAAGTGTTCCAGAACAGGCATGTGAGGAGGGTTGGTCCTTCCCACATGTGTGTTTTGTGAGTTCATTAATGTTATATGTTTATGGCTTTGAATTTGTGCTGCTTGCAAACAGGTTGCAAAATATCAGCAGGATCAGTTTTCCCCTCCTCCTGTCCCCACCCCCAAACCATACAGAACAGGACAGGGCCAGCAACAATCAAAGCAGATGTTTTATATTTGCTGAGCATTCTGAGTGTGGGCAGTCCTATTATTTCCCCCCTGTTTTTTACCTTGATTTTGTTGCTATGAGAACAAACTTTTTTTTTCCCCTTTTCCCTGTACAGCGTGTCTAATTGCTGGGCAAACCACAGTGTGACTGTTCCACACTTTCTAAAGTAAGAGGCAGCAGCTGTTGCCTTTATTTTTGCAAAAAGACCTTGGAGGTGAGGGAAAGCTCCATAGCAATAGGTTAATGGCATGTCCTGCCCTCAGCATTGCTTGCATTTAGGGCTGCCTCAGCAAGTCAGCAATTCACAGAATTAAAAAAAAAACCAAAAAAAAAAACAAACCAAAAACAAAGAAAGACTTTTTCAACAGGATCTTTCAGACTTTGCTTGCATTCTTTCAGTTCCCCAAAATGCTTGAGACAGTTGACATCACATTTAGCCTATATACATGACAGCAGTGTGTTTAAGAAGTGCTAAAAATTTTGTCTTTAGGTGTTTTTCAGTGATTTATCCACTTTTCTCTTCCTCATGGCATGTCAGCAGGCCTTGCAATTTAGAAATTCAACCAGCACAAACCAATCCTGGACACATGAATCTGGTGTTGCTTATTAAACACCTTTGACAGATAAATATCAATATTCCTCTCAAAAATGTTGCCATGCAAGTCAATAGGAATCATGCTTATTCAAATAGGAGTTAAGATTTATGATGGCAAATACTTTATTTGAAATGGTTTTGTAACTGCCTTTTTTTTTTTTTTTTTTTTAACCAAACTGCTCAGAGGTGTTAAAACAGAGTGGGGCAAAACCTCCACACCTACAGTGGAACTTCGAGGATACTATGGCATTTTTTTAGGGATGGAATGTTGTAAATTCACAAGGCCATAGGCAGAGGTAGGAGATGTGGGTGGGGAGTGCATCCAGGCAGGTAGAAAGTCATTACAGTGGTAATGACTCAGTCTCAGCCCATTTCTCTTCCTCCATCCACACAGAAGGTCAAGAAATGGCAAGCAGTAGTTCCTGACAGTACTGACATTTTTATGGGGTTTTTTAACACTACATGTAAAGGAAAATTTTTATTCTTTTAAGGAATACTTCACCATGTACATCATGTATGAAATAGGAATGTGAGCAATATATACTCTTGTATATCAAAAGTTTCAAACACTTAACTTGCTTTGTAAACTGTTTTGAGGGGGTTTTTGTCTTGTTTTGTTTTGTATAAATCAAATGTTTATTGAAGCAAATAAAATAACACCAATTCAAGTTCGTCTCTGGATCATCCAGGATAGGGAGAGGGCTCTTCCTAAAAGGAACCCTATCCTAAATTGATTCAAGTCCATTTCTTCCCACCAGGGGCCTGAATGTCACTCTCAGTCTGTGCAGTGTGCTTTGCTAATGACTCCTTCCCCTAGTCTCCAGCCTGCCCTTCAGCAGAGCAGCACCAGCAGATGGGCAATCTTGCTGGCCCCTTAGCCCCTGCCCTGTTATATCTTCCCTAGTCTCAAAGGAAGGGAGGGAGAAAGGGCTTACAGCTGGTGCTTTCCTGCTTCTGCCTTGCTCAGGTCTCAGATGGATGTGACTCTTACAGACATGGTTTAGTCAGGGAATGGGCAGTTTTGGGTTAGCAGTTGGACTCTGTGATCTTAAAGGTCTTTCCAGCCTAATGCATTCTATGGTTCTATAGTTAGAACCATAGCTAGACCTCAGTCATTTTGGTTCTGATATGCAGGTGAGCCAGAAGACAGCGCACTAAATCTGTGTCACTGAGAAGTGCATGATTAATGTGCTTGTGCCTTACAGCTTCTGCTCTCCACCAAGAGCTTTCACCTTTTTAAGGTGATACCCCTCCCATGGAAGGCATGCAGAATACAGATTTAAAAAAAAAAAAAATAGAGCAAGATACCTCCCTCTGCCCTCTTCAAATTGTCTTGAATGTTACTTGGGTTGAATCTAAGCCTTTGCACAGGGTGCCTTCCACCAGCATCTGATACCGGCATCTGAGATGCTCCAGACATCACCATTTTTTTTATAGATTGTATTTTCATGCTAAAACCTCCACTGACCCTCACACTTGGCTGCACTATCTTCTTTTGAACCTTCAAGTGGGGATACCTCAAAGAGGAATCCACGTCTTCATTCATGAGTCAAGCAAAATCACAGAATAACTGAGGCCGGCAGGGGCATCTCATTCTGTGCTTGTTTGTCATCTGTCCAGGGTTCATGTCATCTGGTCATGTTCAAAACAGGCACTTTAATCAGGTTGCTGAAGGTCTTGTTGAGTTTTGAACATGTCAGTGGTTTCACAGCATGTCGGTGATTTCAGTCTCTCTGGGCACCCCATGCTCTGAACAGAGCAGCACACACAGGCGGTGTCAGGTGCACAAAGGACAGTGGCCACATCTAGTCTGAAGCTGGCAAAAGGAGGGCTTTGTGAAGGAGGCCCTGCCTAGGTGCCCCCCAAGCCGACAGCCACAGGTGAGCAGCTCTTCCTCCAAACCAGCTGCCCTCTGCCAAGCACAAGAACAGCTCTCAGCTTCCTGACAGGATGCAAGGGCTCACTGCCCACACCTCTGTGGTTCCAAGCAGTGCCCTGCTGAGCCTTGGCAAGCCCAGCACTCCTGTGGCTGGCCCTAGCGTGTGCCAGTGCACTCAGTGCCCACCCCTCAGCAGTCCCCACCACTGGCCACATATTGGCAAAGACCTTCAGGCCCCACATCCTGTTTATGCTGGCTCAAAGTCTGAGTCCTTTTGGCATAACACAGCAAGCAAGTGTTGCAAATGCATTTTAAAAATGTAGCAGGCAAATTCCACAGATCTTTTAGTCTTGAAGTACATGATATCCTTGAAATAAAGTACTCTGTATACTTATAATATTTTTTTTTCAGTTAAGGTATTGCCCATCTGTCTTATCCTAAATATTGTATTGTACATCCTACTGTGAGCAGCTCCTAATTAGCGTGTTGGTCAGCATTTTATCGCCAGGGTGCACAGCAAGGAGGCTCCAGCTGTGCAGTGCAGAAAGCAGTCCTTGGCTTTTCTGCTGAACCTTGCAGTGGTCTCTACTGGATAAGGAAGATTCCCAGTGCAGCCTGCCTGTGTCACCAGTTCACATAATTTCCAGCACAGTGGGGATTTCACCCCCTTCTAGGATACTCCAAATTGCTACTGGAATAGACACAAATGATAAAAGAAGGAAAAAATAATGACCCAGCTTCTGAGGAGAAAAACAAGAAATAGAAAAGCATTAAGACATCATTATTCCGAATGCGCCTGGAAACAAACTGGGCCACATGTAGAGCACCTGCAATATTGTCCTCTTGTCAAGCCAGCTGTACTGTGGCCCAAGGGCTTCCTTTGCTCCCAGAGGAACATTGATTAATTTATTTCCCAATCCTTATTTCTTTCTTTCTCTACTGCTTGCCTTTTTTTTTTTTTTTTTTGGCATTATGTTTTTAATAAAATTCTGCCCGTGGCAATTTTTCCCTCTGGCCACAAAGAAGATGACTGTCTGCCTGTTCCTGAATGCAGCTTGGCTGCCTTCATGCTGCTTATTACTTGGCAAACACTCCTGCAAGTTGGTGCACACCATGTGGGTGTTGAGAAGGCTCTTGCTGGGGGGGGGGGGTGGCAAAAATTCGAGTCTCAGCCTAGGTGCAACATAAATGATGCACCTCATTGCAGGATTTTGGTGCTTGGTTATTTTTTTTTTCTTTCAGACACCTGTGTCCTGCTGGGTTACATTTCCCAGCACAACCCACAAGACTCAGTTGGCCTGAATCCACGGTGCCCCAGCCTGGTTGTCTGGACCCCATTTCCTCTCCATGCCTTGACCTACTGGCTGCTCTCACCTACTTTTGACCTCTGGATGCTGAATGGTGTTGCTCATGGCAGAAAGCTGGAGACGGTGGTTTGTTGAAATACAGCCAAATTGTGAGTGTCCTGACGGGACCAAGCCCAGGAAATAGATTTAAAATTCTTGACTAATGAATGCTTTGAGCACCATCTAATCACTTCATGAAGAGGCAAAGGCAAAAGGCAGCTCATAAATTATCTGTTGTGAATTATTTGCTCAGCTGTAATGGTGATAAAACTATCTCTTCAGATAGTTTCATTTAGGTAGCTAAACTCTTAAAAAGATTAGACAGTCACCTGATCAAGTTTGGCATGATTAAACCCTCACTGCTAAAATGTCTCTCTCGCAAAGACGTTGCCATGTGAAACCAGGGAGAGCAAAGATCCCTGGCATTTCTTCCCAGGCTGGCCCTGTCCTGTGTCACAGGGGGGAGCACTCACAGCTGAAAACACTTGTTCTCTTTCTCCTCTGCTGCAGCAAGGATTTTCTGT